ACCATTTTTGGTCCAAAACCTTGAAATTTCTTTTATTCGAAATCCTCCAGTTAGCTCCCTCTGCATATCTTACTATAGAGTCTGATTTACCTTTACTTTCATAAGTCTCTGTGTTATTTCTAAAAATGAATTGTCATTTCTTTTCAGATTTGGCGTTAAAGCAACATGGAAACTTTGCGAGTCTTAACAATCGTAGTTTTCGGCATATCAATAGGTAAAACAGTAGCAGTTGTCAAACGTTTTTGAGCTGATAAGTTTCTGTTCTCAACTAACTAAAAATTTCTCACGCGTTATTCTTCTATACAGGTGTACCCCCGACGAAAGGATCATGTATGATTTCCATTGTCTTAATTGTATTTAGCTGAGCATGCCAAAATATTTGAATTTAATATCTTTCAAAAAGATGTTACTTCATGTTTATTCGACACTTTACAAATGATTCTATTCGATTAAATTTGTTCCTAACGATTGTACGCTCTTCAAAATGTTTTATCCCATGGTCATAAAACATCCCGTTATTTTTCAATGCCAGCATAGACAATAACCTGAGTTCGGTTTAAGTAATTAATTCAACGTTCACGATTAATTCATACAAATTGACACTTCCAAACGACAATAACTGCAACGTCAAAAACGTAAGATCGGAGAGTGTTTTATGTGCCTCAAATACTAAAACTAGCGCAAAAGCAAGGTACTTCTCTTTCTCAGGAAAATCTTTCCCTAAAGTTATTTAACCTTCAACTTTATCGATGTTTTCAAAATGACTATCCAAAAAGTATCTAGAAAGAATTCAAAGCACGATTGCTACACTACTTCACCTACAATTTGATTTGAACAAGTTTCATTTTCACAATTCCACTCTTCTCAAAATATGTCATATAATAGGGTAATTTGGTCAGTAATCTAAGTTGATGACGTAAATTGGTCGCCGTAAAGAGTTTTAAGTCTCACATTTTACACTCACAACTACGCAGTTAAATCTATCATTCTTAAAAATCTTAAATCACTTCAAAACGATTCAGAGACTGGTATTATCTTTTCGCACCTCCACTAATTTCATAACTGACCATTTCACCTGCACCTCCGTCAATGCCATCTATTGCATAACTCGCACCGACTTATTGCACGAAGTTAAAAAGGTTGGTGAGAAAGGAAGACGACTTGATGACCGATTCCGAGAACATCTTCGCGACGTGGAAAGAAATAATGTGGCCGCATTCAAGCCAATCGCTAGTCACTTTAATCTCCCAAATCATTTTAAGTAGCATATGGCAGTTTGCGGCCTTTCCCCATGTCTAGGCAGGTCAGAAAGCCGCGAAACTATCAAAACAATATCACAGCAGCGCCACAATGATATTCCCCAATTGGTGGACGTCGCATCCTCAATATTCACCTGATTCAGGAGAAGTGGGCCAAGTCCAAATAATCGCTAAGGAAACGAGTTTCGACGAGGACGAAAGCTAATGTATTCATAGCTACCATTGTTGCAATGTTTGCTAAATGAATGTTTTGGTGATTATGAGCACAATCATACTCATGCAAATGATTCCTAAGGAAAACCAAAGACATCTAGTTAGTCAAATTTTGTTTATAGTTTGTAGTTATGTCACGCAGAACAACCAAAGGTAAGAAAATTCTCTCCCTGGCTCCAGGGCTTTCAAATTGTAATTTGTGCATGTTTTGTACAAGACATATTGTAACTCTGGCAACAGAAGTTGAGCCTTTTCTGTTTTTCTTTTCGCTGTACTTATCACTTTCAAGGGGTTTTGTGTGTAACAAAATGTAATTTTGTCATTTAAGAACTTATTTGGTATGATGTCAAATAACGAGGGAGAGCTAAAGAAACAGAAGTCGTTCAGCTTGTTAAACAAGCTGTATAGTTTACAACTACGCAATGCATGTTTTGTAGTTGCTGCATTGTAACTCTAGAAACAGAAATTGAATCTTGTCGGCCCTATCAACGGCTTTCTTGTGAGAATTAGCAGTGTCTGTCCGTCTGTCATATGTATTGCTTATGTCGTTAGGCAAGAGAAGGAAAATACCTGCTTCCCTTGTTCTTTTGGTTTTGCCGTATAGATATGGAAAATAAATGAAAAAATATGCAACAGTTGCACAACATTGTTTTCTTAAGCTGTTTAACATTACTTATAATGCAGATCAGGCTTTCCTTACAAGCGTGCTGGGTATCAATTTTGTTTGGACTTTTCGTCCTAAATTTGTGATGACTGCGATGATTATGGATAGCATTACACTCCTAATAGAAGCTAAAAGTAGAGCAATCTGGATTTATCATCCTTCTTATCAAGCACTCACAACATGTTTAAGGCTCAAAGCATCATTAAATGATTGCTTTAAAATTGGTTATTACCAAACTGACATGGGTTATATCATTTTCAATTAAAATGTTACTAATTTTGTCAAACAACCCCCCTGCGTGTTTTACGTAGGTGTTAACTTAAATAAAAAGCAATTTTAGGTCAGCCTATTTTTTAATATCACTTGTTACTTAGTATCAAAGGATAGAGAAAGGTAAGGAGGCATTGTCTCTTATTTTGAACAGTCTTATGAAATTTTCTCATCTGCGGTTTTCATCCCCTTCTTTTTGTTCACAAAATTTGATAAGTTGTTCCCATCTCTTTCAGTATTGATCACATCCTTTATAGATAAAAGGACATCATTCTTTCTTCTGAGTTAGGAAATGGAAATGATTTTTGCTAATAAAATTCCCAAAATTAATGTGATAAAGGCAGTGGAAAGGAAAAAGAAAATAACACAAGATGTATTTGTTGTCATCCGTAACGTCTAAATTTTGCCCCTATTTAGTAAAGGCACACAAAAGATCAATTGAAACGGTCTTAACTTTATAACTAAATCAAAATAAGGTAACTTCGCGCGGATTCGGATTTTCATTAGCTATATCGTAATAAAGAATAGCACGCTCCAGACACACGATCAAGAAAATACACAAGCTGAGATAGCTAATAAGGATTTGGGTTTATTTTTTTGGATTAAAAAGAGAGAGCGCCTATAGCAACTTCACGTTTTGTAGGAATATATTGGCTTCTTGCGTCAGTAGTTGAACTACATTTAAAAAAAACGCCTACAATCTTACTTGGTAGTTTGTCAAGAGTTTTAAGTCGTCATCAAAGTAATGTTGCAGAATGTGTCATTCGTTTTGACTTTTTATCCAGATGAAGAGAGGTATTTCTCAGCGTTTTGCCGCCTTGTCAGAGAAACTCCTGCACAGAGATTTTGAATTTACTTCGTAAACCTGTCGCCTGAAATGTCATAAGCGTTAATCCTCTCAAAATAAACATCCCCGGCGAAGGGTTTTCGCATAATCCATTTTCGCTAGAGTTTTAGCTTGTCGCTGTTTTCAAATGACCATCCAAAAAGAATCTAAAAAGAATTCAAGGTACGATTTATACTCTGCTTCATTTACAATTTTATTCGAACGAATATCATTCTCGCAATTTTACTCTTCTCAAAATATATCAACTCATAGGGTAATTTGGTCTTACTCTTGATCCCCAACTAATTTATTCTTGTTTCTAGTCACTATCTTCCCACCAATAGCGTAACTCCATTTTTTGCTTATAAACACACACACAACCCACAATTCCTCCGTTCGCTCTGACAAAGGGCTAACGCTCAAAACGTCAGGAAACATCTCTCGCTCAAAGTCCAAATAGGGGCTCAGTAAAGAAGACTCCAGCACTCCAGCTCATAATTGATCCTGTCGATGATTACTTAATCCAGTACACTACATAACTACGATTGCATAATCTGTTTCAAAACGATCAATTTAAGAAGGAAAGTGAGTTTCCAGAGACAATTTTGATAAAAGGTTGTGAGCTTCACACCTAGTTTACGAAAGATTGTATTTATATTTTTACTCTCATCTTGCTTTACGATGAAAAAAAGTTTTCAACGCTATATGTTTTGCCCGGAATGCTTGGTGAGGACTTTGGTAAATAAAGGACAGCAAAATACAAACTGGAAAATGCATATTTTTTTTGTAGCAGCTTTGTTACTCTAAAAACCTAATGAAGAAATTTTTGATGACCTCGATGGCCACGTGTAACTTTACCCTCCTGAATGAGGAAGTAAAATAAAGCAACCGTGATAAATTCTCCTTCTCCTTCCGCGTTAATTTCAAAGCATCGTGAAATGATGTTTAACACTTAACACGTTGTTTTAAAATTAAACAAATGAGGGTTGCATTATTTTCAATTAGACCCTGACTGATTTTTGTTAAACAATCCCACATTTCTTTGGTGCGTGCCCAATTTGAAGGCAGATGAACAATATTTTAAACTATTGCTTGTTACCTAACATCCTTGGATAAAAAAGGGTAGGGGATCATTATCTATTCTTAATACTGGATTTCAGGAGAGTATACAGTCTTTGCATGGCATCTTCCAAAGTTCAAAACTGCAATTTTCTTCTGTTTTTTAAACTTATTCTACGAGTTGTTTTGTTCCCTTACATTGTCACCTTAACAAATTTTAGTCAAAGGATTTTTTCGAGTGAGCTATGCAATTGAAATCCTTTTGCTGGTAGAACTCATCCAATATGATGGAGGCAATAATCCCTATTTTCCTAAGATGGGAAAAAATGGGAGAAACTTCGGCACTTTTCAAAACCGTATCGTCCAAGCTCACCCTCCCAACTAAGAGATCATTGCACAGCGTTGAATTTCCATGAGTTTCCTAGTTTAAAGGTTTCAAATAGTTAAACAAGGAAGAGTCAACGAACGAAGAGTCAATGTATTTTTGAAGATGTATTTTAGCAAAATATTATTCTGAAAAACTCGGACAGTGCAAACCTTTTTTTGGTCCAAAACCTTGAAATTTCTTTTATTCTTAATCCTACAACTAGTTTCCTCTGCAGATTCACTGATTAAAGTGTTTTTTAATTTATCATATCTTACTATAGCTTCTGATTTACCTTTACTTTCATAAGTCTCTGTGTTATTTCTACAAATGTCTTTTCTTTTCAGATTTGGCGTTAAAGCAAGATGGAAACTCTGTGGGTCTTGGCCATCGTAGTATTCGGCATATCAATAGGTAAAACAGTAGCAATTGTCAAACGTTTTTGTGTTGATCACTTTCTGTTCTCAACTAACTAAAAATTTCTCACGCGTTATTCTTCTATACAGGTGTAGCCCCAGCGAAAGGTTCGTAGATGGTTTCCATTGTCTTAATTTTATTTAGCTGAGCATACCAAATTTCTTCCAAAAAGAAGTTACTTCATGTTTATGCGACGCTTTACAAATGATTCTATTCGAATAAATTTGTTCTTAACGATTCTACGTTCTTCAAAATTTTTTATCCCATGGTTTGCTTCATGTTTCATTGATGCATAAAATATCCTGTTATTTTTCAATGCCAGCATAGACAATAACCTGAGTTCTACTCAAGTAATTAATTCAACGTTCAAGATTAGTTTACATAAATTGGCTCTTCCAAACGACAATACATTCAACGTCAAAAACGTAAAGTCAGAGAGTGTTTTATGTGCCTCAAATACTAAGACTAGCGCAAAAGCAAGGTACTTCTCTTTCTCAGGATAATCTTTCTCTAAAGTTATTTATCGTTCAATTTATCCCGCTCTTCCAAGACGAGTGGTGCATGTGTCGCGCATATTTATTTCTGAAGTCTTGAACTGGGTCTCCGAAGTGAGCCAAATTAGCGTCTCAAAACGGATCATTTCTAAAATTTTTTGGAATCACTGACTACGGAAATGATTTTGAAAAAAAAAAGCCGGGGATAATTGCCCAAGGAATAACATGAACAGGTACGATCCTTCCTCTATCTTTTTCTTTATACTATCTATGCCGCCATTATTTGTTTACTGAAAGGCACAAAATCCTACAGAATTTTTGAAGACTTAGTATCATTCTATCATGTGATCATGTCGTCTGGTCGTCTTGTTGAGAATAGTCCTGAGAGGGACTGTTGTTGGTAGCAGTGGGTGACATTTCTACAACCTGAGCGAAATTAAAAAAAAAAAAAAAAACCTGACATGAAATGAAAAACCCGATTGTCTCTTGACTGTGATGATGAGTTCTGCTCAGGTAGTCGAAAAGTCAGTCTTCACTATAGAGGGATGTTCCCAGGCCTACTCTCACCCGTACGATCAGACTATATAATCACATACTACCATTGGATTCACAGTATTTACTGTATTGTATCGTGCGTAGGTGGCTGTCTTGACCAGAACATGGATGTGGCCATTGTTGGTGACATATCGAAAAGCATGAAGAGTGATCACCGAAGTAAGTTGATAGGACTGGTTAAATCGTTGGTGGACAAGATGGGTGTTTCTCGTGAAGGAAATCACTTCGCAATTGCCTCCTTTGGACCGTACGCCGCAATCAATACCAATTTTAACAACCAGAATAACTACGAAGCGGAAAATTTAAAAAGAGTCGTTAATCAGAGATTTCGTGTTGTTCCAACAAAAGTTGGAACGCGCACTGATCTGATTCTGCAAAAGGTCAATACCGCATTGTTCACCCCAGCGGAAGGAGACAGACCTGATGCCAAGAACATAATGTTCATCTTCACTGATGGAGAGCCCTGGATTGGCAAGTGGGATAAAAGAAAAATGATTCCCTTTGAGGATTCCACAAAGGCTTTGGAGGTACTATCGCTAAACCCTTATTTAACTTTGATTTGGTGAATCTGTCAGTGTTCGATATTGACTGTTGGGTAGGAGACAAAGACAGCTTTGAATATGATATGACATATCCTGTTGGCTCAAGTACCTTTATTTCCCTAGTATTATTATTTTCTAGTCTTATAGTATCATGCTTCATCTGCTCAGGTTTTCGAAACATCCGTCCTATGATTAACCAGTGAAAACAGTCCTTTCCGAACCAGTATAACTTAGAACATCAGAATACACGATCATTCGTGACTCTTGGCTTCAAAACGTCAATTTTTTTTCCTTTTCCAGGCAAAAGATGTAAGCATCGTTGTAGTAGGGGTCGGCAAGAACTTTCCGGAAAAAGAATCAAACTTGAAAGACATAGCTGGCAGTAAAGGAAAAACCCTTCGCTACGGCAATTTCGACGCACTCTCCGGAAAAGTGGACGAAATCCTCAATGAAATGTGTGGTAAAGCTTTCGCTTTTCTGTTTTTTTTGGTGCTTTTTTTCTTAGAACCATAGATTTAATACCTCTTCAGCTTGACTTTCCTAAACAAAGATGGAATTCTTAATTGGTTCTCATTTATAAACTATTGGAAGAAACACACATAGATGACGTCACCAGCAACAACATTTGGCTTATCGTGCAAAATAGATAGATTCTATTTTGCTGTGAGTCTGTACAAATACTGAAATACGTCAGATCACAGAAGACTTTGAAATGTGGTAAGAAAATCCTAACTCGTGGAACTCCCGCTTTACTCATGGGCCATGGGGCTCCCATGGTGCATCGATGTCACTCCAGGAGCTCCCCGCGGCGCGCTAACATCGATTTTTTTCACTGATTTTTTTGGACCGCGGGACGGACTTGAACTCCTTTACAATGAGTAAGTGTGCTTGGTAAGAGATCACATGGTAGTCATTTCTCTGAGATATTACGCGCACACTAAATTTTGCTGTCCGTTATCTCCAGGACTGCCCTTTAAAATTTAGTATTACCGAACAATCCTTAAAAAACATCTGTAGCACAAACTGTATCAAGTTCACAGTAATCAAGGGCCGGCTGAACTTGATTTGTTTGGATTATGTTTGGAGTCTTTAACTAAGCGATTTGAGCACGATAGGTTTGGCTTCCATTTGATGTTGCCTCAAAATTTAGGTCTCTCTGTTGTCATTTATCAGATATTACGCCTTTTTATTTACACAGCTCTTCCATGCACAGCAGGACTGGACATTGCAATTGTTCTCGACAAATCCAAGAGTGTAAAGTTACCAAATCTCGAAAAGGCTATCACCTTCATAGGTGACCTTGTTAAAACCTTCCACCCTGCGCCTGATGGAGATCACTTCGGCTTGATCACGTTTCATGAGAAGGCCCAAATGGTGTTTAAATTTGCTGACTCACAATATCATGAAAAGAACGCCCTCTTGCAGAAAATAGCCAAAGAACCTCGTAAGCTGGAACTATACACCCGTACCGATCTGGCCCTGATAATGGCGAGGGATCAGCTGTTTACTGAGGAAGGAGGAGACAGACCAGACAAACCAAATGTGATGATTGTACTCACAGATGGAAGACCAACAAAGCCTAAAGGCGACAAAAGTTTTAACTTCAAGGAGTTTGCCGATAAAATAGCGGAAGATTTCAAAGTGAGTTTGTTGCTGTCGTTGTTATTTTTTTTTGTATTTTTTTTTCTCGCAGGATGTACAATTGGCACTCAATCTTATTTATGTCAGGAAAGATTTTTCACTTATCTGGGTGAAAAAACTTGTAATTAAACGCGAAGATACCTTGCTAGCTATGCAAATATGTATCACAGTCAGTAATTTTGATAGCCATCCCGGAAATTAATTCTTAAAGCAACGCAGCACAGCAAATACTGTGCTTTTGTCTACACAGCTGATCCAAACTGCTGTGAAGTAGAAATGCTTATAGCACAGAGCCCCTGCATTTCAAGTCTATCCTTTCAGTCATCATCATTCAATATTTTTCTTAGTGTTCAGATGTCACGTTGCAGAAAATATGAAATTGTGCTGTCGTGCCGTTTTGTTGTTACTTTCTTGCGCTTTTGTGTTAAAGGTGTTGCAATTAATTCTCTAAAAGACGTGACTCTGATCTTCGCATGAAATCAATAACTATTAATCTGTGCAGGAGACCACCCGCCACTTAGCCAAGTGTCGTTTCTTCAGAGAAAATGTTTCATTAAACTTGAAAACATTAGGGCATTTGTTAGAATAAGAATCAGTCGATACCTTCAATGATAAAAACACTTTTACATATGAAAATTAGCAGACTATCACCTATCTAGAGAAGAAATTGCATTAAATTGGAGGATCATGCACATACGAACTTGCAGTAAAATTATTTTTTTCGAGACTTAATGTTTCAACTGCGATCTTCATTTCAGAGAAGTTTCTTTGGTGTCACCTCTTATTGCAGTTATGTTTCCTGAAGTAGTATTGTATGGCTTTATCTATGCTAAATTCATGATTTAACGTGTCATTCATTGCATGCATTTATAAAAGGATGTTCGAGTAATTGCTGTAGGGATTGGTTCTGGTATAGATCAGCCTACCCTTCTCTCAATTGCTCGTGAAAAAGACCAAGTCGTTACGGTCGGAGGCTTCAGTGAGCTGGCAGACGAAATGAACACAATAAAATCAAAGGCTTGTTCCGGTAAGTTTGCATCAGTCGCGACCAACTAATTTCCTTCAAGTAAATGCAGCACAGTAATTGTGAAGCATAGGGCTTGTTGACATACCGAATTATGTTGTAACTTTTTTTGTTGTGTATCAATAGATACTTGTCGCCGAGCTACATGTAACTGACTTCCACTAAACGTTAACCACGCTTGCTTACTATCAATTAAATCAATCGAGGTGAATTATTAAGGATAGCTCCAAAAAGTTTTGAGAGAGGGACCCGATGAAGTTGTAGAATAGAGAATAGCTGTCAGACTATCACTATGGATGAAACTTCATGTACTTGAAAACGGACAATTATGAAAATAAAATGCAAAAACCGAAAGGAAATTTTCTTATAGAGGCTTTGAAATCTATTTGAGATTGTCTTTAGCCTTTTAAACATTTCCATCGTTATGCGTTATAACGTCATAATCAAGTGAAGATACAAATTGGTGACAAGAGAAAACGAGCTCGAGTTCCTATGATCAATAAAATTGTATACCTTAGACGAAAGAAGGCGTTAAATCATTCATAGCTGCTAAAATAAGTGGTACCCACTGTTTGACCAAATACACGATCGAATTAGCATGATTTTCTCTCCAGCACTTAACGGTGGCTATTCAGAGTGGTCTGAGACTGAGTGCAGTGTGACGTGTGGAGTAGGAGTAAAAACATCAACAAGAACCTGTACTAATCCACCGCCTTCTGCTGATGGAAAGGACTGCAGTGGGCTTGGACCAGCAAAAAAGACAGTTTCATGCAACGAAGCAATATGCCGTAAGCATTTTAAGTAAGACTTTTCGTATCACGTAGAGTAAAATTTCCGAACCATATCACCGTTTTTGTTAAAAAAAAAACCACCTTCGTTCTTACAACAGTTGCTGATCAACTCTGCGTCGTCATTTGAAACCTAGGTAACAAAATCAATTTTATTCCGATGGACTGATTTTAATATGCTACCATGGGAGTTTCCAACAGATACAGTTGTGCAAAGTACTAATATCGGCTGACCGTAAGTTTTTCGGTGAAAATAGAAACCAAATTAAAAGATAGTACGAAAAAAGGACGAGTGAAACAAAAAAAAACATACGAGCAGCATTATAGAGCCTGAAAAAATGAAAACAATTATAATTTCAGTCAAAATATATTGTTGATCTTCGTTCGCTTCTCTTTAAAGTAATTGAAAAAGTTTGTAGAAATTTTTTAAAATGAAAACTAACCTTTTATGCTTATACTTAACCTTTCATCACTTGAATAGATTGGCGGTATTTTGTGTTCGGCCTTTCTATTCGCTTTGAGTTCTATCCCAGCTGCGATATGTGGAGTCTTATTTTTATTTCTTGAAGCAATTTTTATTTCTTGAAGCAATTATTATATAATGGCACAAGTGAAAAGCTAGCGTATGACACAATTAAACGTGTGTTGTGTGGTAGGGTAATCTGGAAAGTACCATCACACCACACCACTGTTACCTACAAGCTGTATACATTTATGAAAAACAGAAAACTAATAGGCCAGGGGTGTGGCAAACAGAATCCGTGGTAAAGAGCGTAGCAAATGGTGTCGGTGTTATTGTTCAGTCTCTAAGTACGTCTGTCATTTGTCATCAAAGATGAATAATTTGAACGGACCAGCCAAGCAAGTGAAAATAAGGGGCGGTTTTGGAATCTAATAGGTAACGGTGAATGAGTGATTGCAAATCGTAAAATGGCGTCGAGCTAAAAAATTTAAGGCATTATTGACCATAAAAAAGTTAAACTTAAAAACATACGGTATCTTATATGACCTTGCAGCTTTCTAACAATATGAAAGTAATGCATTTCATTTTTCTCTATTGAAAGCAATTGACGGTGGATACACCGAGTTTTCTGAGTCTGAATGCAGTATGACATGTGGAGGAGGGACAAAAAATCTGACAAGAACTTGTACCAATCCGCCGCCATCTAACGGTGGAAAGGACTGCAGTGAACTAGGACCAGCTGAAAAGACAGTTTCATGCAACGAAGCAGAATGTCGTAAGTATCTTTAGTGAGTCACCTAGGGTTAGAGCGATATATTTAGACGTAAAAAAGTTTGTTTACCTGTTCTATATGCTATAGCTGAGGTAAATAAGCACAACTGAAGTTGCAGCTTTTGGTTGTTTGTATAGCAATTGATGGTGGTTACACTGAGTTTTCTGAGTCTGAGTGCAGTGTGACATGTGGAGGAGGGACAAAAAATCTGATAAGAACTTGTACCAATCCGCCGCCATCTAACGGTGGGAAGGACTGCAGTGAACTGGGACCAGCTGAAAAGACAGTTTCATGCAACGAAGCAGAATGTCGTAAGTATCTTTAGTGTCACTTTGAGTCATCTATGGTCAGAGCGGTTTATTTAGATGTGAAAAAAAATTTGTTTACCTGTTCTATATGCTGAAAAATGTCGTATTTATTCACGTGCGTTGTTACGGCTTTCCTCAGGGCTGGAAATCCTTGTATCAGACTGTAGCTTATATGAGACATACTTTCATCATATTTAGAGGCTTAAGCAGAGTTACTTATGGGGTACATGAGTGGATTGATGTTGGGTCGCTATATAGACCTGACTGCTGTCACTGTTGCAACTATAAAACCATTGATACATTTCTTCAGGATATTTTATTCTTTCATTTCAACAGCTCCTCTATGCACAGCTGGACTAGACATTGCAATTGTTCTCGACAAGTCCAAGAGTGTAAAGTTACCAAATCTCGAAAAGGCTATCACCTTCATTGGTGACCTTGTTAAAACCTTCCATCCTGCGCCTGATAAAGATCACTTCGGCTTTATCACGTTTCATGAGAAGGCCCAAATGGTGTTTAAATTTGCCGACTCACAATATCATGACGAGAATGCCCTCTTGCAGAAAATAGCCGAAGAACCTCGTAAGTTGGAACTATACACCCGTACCGATCTGGCTCTGATAATGGCGAGGGATCAGCTGTTTACCGAGGAAGGAGGAGACAGACCAGACAAACCAAACGTTATGATTGTACTCACAGATGGAAGACCAACAAAACCTAAAGGTGACAAGAATTTTGACTTCAAGGAGTTTGCCGATAAAATAGCGGAAGATTTCAAAGTGAGTTTGTCATTGTCGTTGTTTTGTTTTTTCTCACAGGATGTACAATTAGCACTCATCTTACTTTTGTCAAGTAATGAGTGAAAGGGACCTTAAAGTTATTTGAAATATCATGCACATATCAAACTCGTATGACAACCTTTCCCGTGACATAAATTTTCAAATGTAATCATTAAATTAGAAATGTTTTCTATCGTATTTTTCCTTTTTTCATTTATGCTTTCGTAAAGTATTTTTGTCTCCATGCATGGTTCAATCCATGTTAACTTCATGATATCTAACAAAGGATATTCGTAGTTTAAGGAGCCGATTACTGCGTGCCTTTAACGCTATCCTCTCTATTAGTATATACTATAGTGCATTATTTATTATATTTATTTATCTTGTTAAGGACAAGGATGTTAGAGTTGTTGCTGTAGGGATTGGCAGAGGTATAGACAAAGGAACACTTCTCTCAATTGCTGATAACAAAGATGATCAAGTGGTTGAGGTAGAAAACTTCAGTCAGCTTGAAAAGGAGATGAACACAATCAAATCAAAGGCCTGTTCTGGTAAGTTTAAATCAGCTTCACCTTTCTTTTAATCTCTTCAGCTATGGTCAATGACTGATGCCATTTTGACTTCATTTCATTGATTTTGGAAAATAATGTTGTAGCCTTGTATAAGTAATTTTGAGTAGTTGTAACTACTTTTGGCTTAGAATTTATACATTTATGCATTTATACATTTATGCATTTGTGCATGTTGTTGCAGTTCTGTTGATTCCTTCCATGTATTCCTTGTTGAATTGAACAAGCTCATTTTAATTTTTTTTCAGAATAAAGACGCACCGTATTTAAGACGTGTCTTCCATCAAAAGGCAAATATTGGTGCAAGGAAGCTGCTGCAGTGTTAATTTCACAAAATTACTGTATCTGCAGACGATATCGGTGATGGGATGAATGAATAAAACCTTGATCTACTGCTTTGCTTGTCAATGAATGCTGTAATATAACTTCGGCCAGTTTTTTTTTTCTTTAATTTAAATTTTTTTTTAAATTTATTTATCTTTTTTTTAAGAAATGGATAATAAGGGTAACGGTGTTAACATTAACATTGGTGGTAAAACAAAAAATGGTCCTACTGTAGCTGGAAAAATATGCGCATTAAGGCGCAGCAAAATTCTCTTTGCGATTTTATGGGGATATTTCCGAATACTTCCATATCTATTAACATTAACAGTTCGTGCTTCACATTTTCCAGTAAATCTCACGAAGTTGCTTCATCGCTCATTGGTGTTATATCTCTTGAAACTATTAAAAAAATCGGTGATGGAAATTAGTTTTTGACACTGAAAATTATTTTTCAGTTTGACACCTACTTTGCCACTGAAGGAAGACACTAGACAGGAGGGTCGAAACGTTGGGTCCATGAATTTTAACTTCTCGGTTACATTCATTAAATCCTTAAACCAGAGTAACATCAAACCATGTCCAAACCACAACCTTTTTTACGTTACAAACCTGTATCAGACTCATCTCAATTTTCAAGACTCACGGACTGTGTAGCATCTCTTAGGCTAACACTTTTTCTTCCGTATTGTAAAAAGTAAGATGAAAAGCTGGAAGTCCTTATTTTGTGATTTTGCAGCTCGTGACGCAAATTAAATTTTGCGAATCAATAACAAGTTATAATTACCATTGGTATGCGCGTAAATTGTTGATAGGAAACACTTCGAAAAATGGGTTATGTATCAGAGTTCAAACGATTTTTCTTCCTAAATTCAAAGCGGTAACTTATTTTTCTACCAAATGATTTTTGAAAAACTGCTGCTTGGAGTGTCTTCTATGGTGTCATGAGCTGAAAGTAGGATCGAGAGGCTAATTACTGGCTGCACCGTGGAAAATTAGTCCTGTTACTAATGTAAAAATACAATGCTGTGACTTAATGCCCGGCAGCTGGGCACAGTCTCAAATAGACTGAATTCCCGGCAGTCAGACACTTGTACAGTCAGATTTTCCACCAAAAGGTTTTGTCAAACTATTTAGGATTATCAAATTTTTTTTTTAGAATTGTCAAACGATTCCAAAAATTAAAAATCGTCTGTTAAAAATTTTCTCCAAAATTTCACTGAAAGGTTCCTTGAAACTTCTGAAGAGTATTGGATTTTTTTTAATAAATGTAATAAATTAATTTGTATTTTTTGTAGACAAATTCTCCGAGCTTGTGCGTACTATAATATCGCTCGGTTGTCGTCGCTCAGAAATTGTACGCTTCTGAGCAGACTGGCGGGCACGGTCTCAATCAAACGGATTCATTTCCCGGTAGTCACAAACTTCGCCAAAATGTCACTGAAAAATTCATACAAACTTATTTAGTATATTCGATGACTGTTTAGAAATGTTCGTTTTTCGTTGGTCAAGCTTGAACGTACCATACTAAAATGCATTAACAATACGGTACATTATAGTTTGCAAGTTAAGTCGTGAAAAAATAACAGTTTACCTGGTTTGATAAGTGTGCTTTGGTGAATATATTATTTCATAGGTACTGAGATTTACCCACAAAAATCGTAGTGAATAAAATTCGTACTGATTCTAAATGTAGCCAATCAGGAGTACGAACGACAAAATTTCACCGTAAAAAATTATCGTTCGTCCAATCAGCAACGCGAACGACGAAATTTCACTAATGATGAATGAACGTACCGGCAAAAGCAAAAACCGGCAAAAATAATCATAAAATAATCATAAAAAAATTATTGACACTGCCTGCGAGTTTTTACAAGATTCAAATGGCGTACGCAGGTCGTGATTGGTCAGTTTCGATCCAGCGGTAATGTTAAGTTTGGTGTAAATGTCATGAAGAAGTTGTTTGTATGGTGCCGGTAATAGTTGACACCTGTTGAGGGGGGTTTGTTCTAAGTTAGTGAACCAGCAGCTTTCCAAAGTCAGTCGTTGAAAATAGTAAGTGCTGTAGGTTTGGCATTGTGCAGAGTCCCTGACTATGATAGCGCGTCGCTCGCCTATGTTCTGTCAGTCTTGTCGTGAAGTTTCTGCCAGTCTCTCCTACGTAGGAGGCTTAACAGTCGCAGTACTCGATCGTATAAACCACTCACTGCCTTTTCTTTGGTTCGTCCTTGTCTTTGACGTTGGTTAGTAACTGACGAAGTGTAGTGATGTGTTGGTGGTCAACGCAAAGGTTGCAGGATGTGCGAGAGGGTTTCAAACGCTGGTATAGTCGCTGTAGTCGTAGGAGTTGGGTTGTCGTTCGCTTTAGTGGGTCGGTGAGTGTTTCGTCGACGAAAGTCTTTGTTGTAGTTGTTGTTTTTTTTAAACACGGTCAAGGTATTTGTTCTCGTCGGATAAGCTGTCTGTCGTGTTGCATACTACCTGTAGTTACGTTCGTCGTGTTAGAGTCCTGATTTCGTGGCTTTGTGTAATGTCGGTATGTAAACAGTTTTCTTCGACTTTTTCAGAAACTGTAGACAATTATTTGGTTTTTTTTGTGTATCGTCCGTGACCAGCTCTTAGACTAAGTTGTCTTGTATTTAAAGCTTGCGGTTGCCTGTAAACGTCAGAGCAGAGATACGTTTTCTGGAATACTAAAGGGGTGAAACGTGTGTTGATGCGTTTTCGACTGACTTCTCTGCTAAAATGTATTTCGCTGATTTGTTCCTTAAAGTGGTGGTGGAATTCATCGAATTCGTCGTGTCGTGCGGCGGTGAATATTTCGTCAACGTAGCCAAAGTGGTATCTTTCATCGGCAAGTCGAAAGGGCGCGTTCCTCGATGTTCTGCATCAGCAATTACGTGACAACAACGGAAAGTGGCGCCTTCAAACCTGCACAATGTAACTCTTCGTATCGTTTAATGTTGAATTGAAAGCAAGTTGATCTAGACATAGGTTCAGTAAGTCTGTTATGTCCTCTATCGGTAGTAGGTCGTTGAGTTGTCGGTAGCTGTCTCAGTACATTTTAGTGCCAAAAGTAGCGGAAAATTGGTAAGAAGAGATTTAACATCAAATGACACTGGTTTGTAGTCGTCAGGTATCTGTACAGTTTTAATGGCTTTTGCGAAGATCTCGGAGGACTGGAGCTTACGTCTGGATTTGTCGGTAGTGGTATGATCGTCAGACTGCTTGGATACAGTGGAACCTCGATTTAACGAACCTCCATATAATGAAGTTGTCGGTATAACGAACGGTACTCTTCAGTCCGGCCAAAGTTACAGTAAAATGTATGGGAAAGAACCTCGAAATAACGAAATCTTCGTTATAACGAACGCAATCCAGAAGCTCAGACCTATGATGACCTATAATATATAACCCGATATAACGAACGAATGCTAACACGTGACAAAAGGAAAATGCAAAACAGACCAACAAGAACAAAATCCTTCGATTCCAGTAACCTGAATGGAACAACTTTACGGTTAATAGCTTATTGTTAATGCCAACGGCGTTGAGATGACGGCGAAATTCGTAATTTCGTTCGTATATATATACATACGAGCATTTCTTGGAGCCACTAAGTTTGTCGGACGAATATAGTTGGCTATATATTATAACTGATCATAATAAAACCAGTAAAGTAATGACTTAATGGCTGCTACATTTGCGTCAGTATAATAAGAAATTCTTAGATAGCCAGTAACGTAATGGCAAAACAAAGTTTTGTGATTATCATAATTTCCATTGACACTGTTGACACATCTACAGATCCGCTTTATCCTTAGTTCTATTGAGTTGAACTTAACCTTTTTTTCAAGGAGTCTTGTAGTTTGCTTGTTTGCCGGTGACTTCCACGGAAATTTGTCCTCCTTGCTTTAAAAACAAGATGCTGTAGCTATATACAGACCTGTACAGCGTACTGTAGCATCATACAGACATTAGAGCACAAATGTTATTTACAGTAATCGTTCCGATCCCAAAAGGCTGGGTAGCCCGACGTCATACCACAAAAGAAAACCATTCCTCGACATTTTGTTTTTTCTGTTTACGCAAATTCGTTTAATCGAGGTTTTCGATGTAACGAACTCTCGAACCAATTTCCCCAGTCCCTTGGCAATTCATTAAATCGAGGTTCCACTGTAGTTGGTATGTAGGAGACTTTGGAACAAATCTATAAGTCGCTTTGGGAAACCAAGTTTGTGTAGATTTGGCAGACCGCAAAGTTTCGGCAGCTGTGGTACTGAGCACTTTAGTCGATAGTTGCGTTGAGCGTCAATGGCGTTACTTTTCCAAGGGGTTTAGTTTACGTTGAATCGTAAGAGTCAAGACTGTATGCCACTACCACTTAGATACATTTTTTATCAACTCCATCTCTGTGTGCTGCAAGATACAATAAACGAAGATTCAAGAAGAAATGAGCTCATATTCTGATAATACATATAAGTTGAATGAAGAGTTTTTCAATAAATGGTTTGAACCCGGGGGTAACATGTAATAGTGTAGTTTGATCGTCCGGGTGATTCCTACATCGGTGAGACTGCCATAAACCTCACAATTAGACTGACTGAACACAAACGAGCGATAAGGAAAGGCGATGTCAACAGTCACATTGCTGAACATCACCGACTTACGAACCACACTATTGACTGGGACTCTGCGCAATGCCTAACCTACAGAACCAACTACTTTCAACGACTGACTCTGGAAGCTGGTTTACTAACTTGGAATAGACTCCCCTCAACAGGTGCCAGCCACTATTGGCACCATACAAACGACTCATCCACGACATTAACATTACAAACGATTCGAACAGAACGACCTAACTTTACTAACGGATCGAGACTGATCAATCACGACCGACCTACGCCACTTGAGTCTTACAACCGATAACATCACGGCAAAACTGACCAATCCGTTTATAGGAGCCGGACTAAGAACATTCGACAAACAACGACTATTCACTGGACACTGAAGATGACTTCCGCTCAGGTTGGCGAAACGTTAGTCACCACAACCGACAACAGTCCTTCTTAGGAATACAATCACCCGGATGATCGAACTACACTATCACACGAAGAGTTTTTGTTACATTACTGTAGTCTCATTCCTCTAACACGTATAATTGGAGATGACTGCGGCACTCTTGGTTAACAAACGATCGGCTAAAGTAAAGTCTGGGTAGAAGCAAGTGACTCGGGTATATAAGATACTATGACGAGCTAAAATCTATGCACTGAACATTGTTACAGTTGAGTTCTGTCAATTCCTTCCGGTTACTTCCTACCGAATTTAACAAAATTGTTTTGATGATTTTCTTTAGAAAATACGGTCCGTGTCGAAGAGGTGATGTCCATCAAGTTGGAAATATTGGTGCTGAGAAGCTGCAGTGTTTATTTCAAAAAGGCTATTGTATCTGCCGATGGTATCGGGGATGGGATGAATAAAAAAACAAATCTACTGCTACGCCTGTCATTGGATACCATTGGAAAACACAACCTTAAGGAATTTTACAAAAGTATTCCTTTCTTGTGAGCCATGAAATGGACATTCTTTTGAGATAGACATTCCCTACATAGGATGGAATCAATTAGGCTGCAGGACCCAAATCGTTCGAGCTCGCTCCCCTAATAGGTTGATACTGACATTAAATTTCAGAGGTAGGGATTTCATCATCCATTTGAAGTAAGGTAGCATCAGAAACATCGAACGCTTGTCGACTTCAGTATTTTTTCATGTCGTGTGTACTGAGTTATCGAGTTGAACACCCGGAGAGACGAAGAGAAATTCCATATTCACACGCGCCCGTGTATTGTTATCTATTTATTAGTAAAGTAAATTTGCCACGATAAATAGTTTCTAAGCTGACGTTTAGAGTGTTAGCCCTTCATCAGAGCGAAAAGAAAAATTGCGAGTTGTGTGTGTGTGTTTGCAGAAAATGAGGCTACGTGATTGGCAGGAAAATGGTCACAAGAGAATAAAGATTTCATTTTTCCTTATTTTTCTCGTTGATGATCGTGTGGTCTCATAACCATCGCTGAAGTCGCATGAATTCTAGTTGTTCATCAATAGTGTCAACCAATGCACTCAGAGAATTCCTTTTTTTATTTTTATTGCCACTTAGTACAGTTTGCAAATACAATCTTCCTAGGTACTAAAAAATTAAGGACGACTCCACTTGATAAAGGCCAGGTGGCTTTCTCACTCTGGAAATAGAAAACAATTTTTCATCAATTTGACTATATTCTCGCTGTTATTCATTATGCATTCCCTGTGCTTTCTTCACTAACTCTGCTATATATGTGAATGAAAGTGACTCTCGCAGTAATGTGCACTACTTAGGCAGTAGTGAAAATAAGGCCTGAAAAAATTCAGGCCTGTACGGGATTTGAACCCATGACCTCTGCGATACCGGTACAGCGCTCTACCAACTGAGCTAACAAGCCAACTGGGAGCTGGTCATGATGTTGGGTCTAAATAAACCCGTGAAGTGATGAAATAAACGGTTAAGAATATATGAAAGTCATATATTTGAACTGGGGATAAAGTTCAAATATATGACTTTCATATATTCTTAACGTCTTTATATATATATGCTATATATGTGATCAATGCTTAACTCACACGAGAGAAGTAAATTTTACTTCCTATGGTTATTTCTACAGCAAACATTTGAAAAAAGAACATTTACTAAAAGAAGCAATTTTATCATCCAGCTGAAGTTACCTGAAGTAATATTCAAGAAAATGTAAAGCAGAGTTTCATTGTAATCTCTATGAATGAAGTCTCTTAAATCGTGTGTCAAAAAAATTTTTTCATCTTTGGAAAAATTAGCTAACTCGAAACCATTGATTTTCATTAAAAAATATATATTTTCTTGTTTTACATGTCACCTTACCAGTACAAGATTTCGATTTGATTTCTTCGATCGTTTCTTTAAGTTTGTCGAAGTCCTCCACCTGCACCACGTTACTTCCACCTGCGATCTGCTTCAGGCTTTTTATATTTATCGTCTTACCAATTCCCACGGCCAATGTGCTAACGTTCTTTTTCTGTTGTAGATAGGTAGGTAGAAATAAAATGATATCAGGAGCCAGCTGATATAGGAGAGTGAGGTATTTACGTCATAACTTGAATGAGGGGCAAGGAAAATTGACCAACGAATAGACAAACTTACTCCCTCACTAAATTACAAACAAACGGGCAGATAGACCTTTAGCTGAACAAATGATGTAAATTCTTAACTGATATGATGATACTTTTTCAAACACCGTCATAAAATAAATTTTTATACGAGCTGCATAATGAAGTACCACCTTTTTAAATTATCAGCACGCTAATTGGTGCCACAAAAAGAGAAAAAAAGGTTAAAAAACATATGGCATGTCAATGAAACCTGAATGGGAACACTCACTTTAAATTCTTTTTCTATATTCGCAGCAAATGCATCGAAACTGAAACTTTTCCCAGGATGTGTTGGCATTCCATCTGTCAATACAATCATGACATTTGGTTTGTCTGGTCTGTCTCCCCCTGCCTTGGTAAACAGCGAGTCTAATGCCAATTTTAAAGCCAGATCGGTGCGAGTATGCAGACGCAGTCTAATTGGCTCATCGGCTATTCTCTTCACGAGAGCTTCCTTGTCATGGTATTTTGAATCCGCAAAGGTAAACGCCAGTTCCGCTCGCTTGTTAAACGTGATGAGACCGAAGTGGTCTTCTTCTGGTGACGGGTGAAATTTCTTCACAAGTTCACACAAGAAGGTGATAACCTTTCTCAGATTAGCTTTTCTGACACTCTCGGATTTGTCGAGTACAATTCCAATGTCGAGTCCAGCTGTGCATGGAGGAGCTGTGGAGGAGTAAAATCTTGGTGATGTACAAAAGGAATCAATTAAACTGCTATGGTTACTCTAACTCTCTATCTATTGTTAGGCTATAATTCTTTTCAATTTATTCCCTTTTTTCCCACTTTCCCAGTCTGGCACTATGTCCGAGAAACTAAGCAAGAGTTCTGTTTTTACACTTAGCTGTACTGCGTCTTTCAATTTACTATTACCAAATAATCGGTCCGAGAAAATTGATTGGATTGCAACGTCTTAAACATAACGTTAATCAATGACAGTCTTTTTTTCTCATTGGGTTTCGCAAATAGAACCAGAAGGTTGCGAGTTTGGAGAGAGACGTGAAAGAGATCAAGCAGATTTCTGGTATCTCTTTGATAAGCTCTGAAAATAAACAAGTAGAAAATAGTAATTGATTCTGTCTTCGCCCAAACTGCTTCTGCAAGTCTTACGATGGTTTATATACTCACGACATATTGCTTCATTGCATCGAACTGTCTTTTCAGCAGGTCCCAGTTCACTGCAGTCCTTTCCACCGTTAGATGGCGGAGGATTGGTACAAGTTCTTGTCAGATTTTTTGTCCCTCCTCCACATGTCACACTGCACTCAGACTCAGAAAACTCAGTGTATCCACCATCAATTGCTACGAGGAATAAAACAACAACAGCAACAAAAAACAAAGGCTGTTAGTTCAGTTTATACCTTTGCTGAAGTTCTAGCATGTGAAACATTTACACAGAAACTTCTTTACATCTAATCAAACTGCTCAACCATAGGAGACTTAAAATGACGGTTAAAATACTTACGGCATTCTCCTTCGTTACATGGAATTGTCGTTAAATCTGGCCCCAGCTCACTGCAGTTCTTTCCACCACAAGATGGCGGAGGATTGGTGCAGGTTCTTGTAAGTATTTTTGTCCCTTCTCCACATGTCACACTGCACTCAGACTCCGACCACTCAGTGTATCCACCATCAATTGCTACAAGAAATAAAACAACAACAACAACAACAAAAAAACTGTTAGTTCAGTTTTACTCCTTTGCTGAAGTTCTAACACGTGAAACATTTACACAGAAACTTCTTTATATCTAATCAAATCGCTCAACTATAGGAGACTCAAAGTGACGCTTAAATACTTACGGCATTCTCCTTCGTTACATGGAATTGTCATAAAATCTGGCCCCAGCTCACTGCAATTCTTTCCACCGCAAGATGGCGAAGGATTGGTGCAGGTTCTTGTAAGTATTTTTGTCCCTTCTCCACATGTCACACTGCACTCAGACTCCGACCACTCAGTGTATCCACCATCAATTGCTACACAACAACAACAAAAGAAGCATCTCTTATGTTTGTTTTTTCAAGTGATAACTTGTAAAGTACAAGCTCGAACAATTTATTTGTATTTCAGCAAAGTGATTTTAACCTCAGGAAAGATTAGATTGCATCTGAGGAAAAGAAAGCCTGAATGGAAGACTCTTCATTTAGATTAAAACGAACCGTAGGGAAATGAACGCAAAGTTTCTAATGAAATCATTTTTTTTTTTTACTGTCCACTTTATTATTAGCAAATTGGAACATCGGATACCATACAACTTATCCATAGAAAACTCCTGGTGATAGCTTATTAGACTCAGGAAATCTTCTTTATAAGAATTATGCCTATCACCAGGTTTTGAAATGAAAACGCAGAGTGAAGATGGTAGTTTTTTTTATCGTTAGTGTAGTCCAGTAGATGAAATATAATTGCCTTCGTTATCAAAACAGAGAGTAGCAGTAAAAACACTCATTACCAGTTATTACCAGGGTTTTAGATGATGATGCAGAAAGAAGATGGTAAGGGTTTTAACGAAAGTGTAGTAATGTAGATGTAGAATTTTTCCTACACTATACACAATACACAGAGTAGCAGCAAAAATACTTACAAAATTCTTCTTTTCATCTAAATAAACCGCTCTCACCATAGGTTATTCAAAGTGCAACTTTAGTTATGCTTATTTACCTCAGTTATAGCATAGAGAACAGGTAAACAAAATGTTTTCGATCTAATTAGACCGCTCTAACCATAGGTGACTCAAAGTGACACTAAAGATACTTACGGCATCTTGCTTCGTTGCATGAAACTGTCTTTTCAGCTGGTCCCAGTTCACTGCAGTTCTTTCCACCGTTAGATGGCGGCGGATTGGTACAAGTTCTTGTCAGATTTTTTGTCCCTCCTCCACATGTCACACTGCACTCAGACTCAGAAAACTCAGTGTAACCACCATCAATTGCTATACAAAGAACCAAAAGCTGCAACTTCAGTTGTGCTTATTTACTTCAGCTATAGCATGAAAAATAGGTAAACAAAGTTTTTTACATCTAAATAAACCGCTCTAACCATAGGTGACCCACTAAAGATACTTACGGCATTCTGCTTCGTTGCATGAAACTGTCTTTTCAGCTGGTCCAAGTTCGCTGCAGTTCTTTCCACCGTTAGATGGCGGCGGATTGGTACAAGTTCTTGTCAGATTTTTTGTCCCTCCTCCACATGTCACACTGCACTCAGACTCAGAAAACTCAGTGTAACCACCATCAATTGCTATACAAACAACCAGAAGTAGCCACTTTAGTTATGCTTATTTACTTCAGCTGTAGCATATAGAACAGGTAAACAAAATGTTTTAGATCTAAGTAGACCGCTCTAGCCATAGGTGACTCAAAGTGACACTAAAGATACTTACGACATTCTGCTTCGTTGCATGAAACTGTCTTTTCAGCTGGTCCTAGTTCACTGCAGTTCTTTCCACTGTTAGATGGCGGCGGATTGGTACAAGTTCTTGTCAGATTTTTTGTCCCTCCTCCACATGTCACACTGCACTCAGACTCAGAAAACTCAGTGTAACCACCATCAATTGCTATACAAACAACCAAAAGCTGCAACTTCAGTTGTGTTTATTTACCTCGTTTAAAGCATATGGAACAGGTAAATAAACCGCTCTAACCATAGGTGACTCAAAGTGACACTAAAGATACTTACGACATTCTGCTTCGTTGCATGAAACTGTCTTTTCAGCTGGTCCCAGTTCACTGCAGTCCTTCCCACCGTTAGATGGCGGAGGATTGGTACAAGTTCTTGTCAGATTTTTTGTCCCTCCTCCACATGTCACACTGCACTCAGACTCAGAAAACTCAGTGTAACCACCATCAATTGCTATACAAACAACCAAAAGCTGCAACTTCAGTTGTGCTTATTTACTTCAGCTATAGCATATAGAACAGGTAAACAAAATGTTTTATATCTAATTGGACCGCTCTAACCATAGATGACTCAAAGTGACACTAAAGATACCTACGACATTCTGCTTCGTTGCATGAAACTGTCTTTTCAGCTGGTCCTAGGTCACTGCAGTACTTGCCACCGTCAGATGGCGGCGGATTGGTACAAGTTCTTGTCAGATTTTTTGTCCCTCCTCCACATGTCACACTGCACTCAGACTCAGAAAACTCGCTGTATCCACCGTCAATTGCTTTCAATAGAGAAAAATGAAATGCATGACTTTCATATTATTAGAAAGCTGCAAGGTCATATAATATGCCGTATTTTTTTAAGTTTAACTTTTTTATGGTCAATAATGCCTTAAAGTTTTAGCTCGATGCCATTTTACGATTTGCAATCACTCATTCACCGTTACCTATTAGACACCAAAACCGCCCCTTATTTTCACTTGCTTGGCTGGTCCGTTCAAATTATAAATTTTTGATGTCAAATGACAGACGTACTTGGAGACTGAACAATAACACCGACACCATTTGCTGCGCTCTTTACCACGGATTCTGTTTGCCACACCTCTGGCCTATTAGTTTTCTGTTTTTCATAAATGTATACAGCTTGTAGGTAACAGTGGTGTGGTGTGATGGTACTTTCCAGATTACCCTAGCACATGTCATACGCTTAGCTTTTCACTTGTGACATTATATAATAAAACCAGCTAATTTACAGATATTCCACATAAACTGAAATCAACTTTAAAAGTAAATACTGTTACATACGGGACATGAAACATAATCTTAAATAATCCCACGTTAAGCTAAGAAGTAAAAAAGGATAATCAAATGTACTAAGAATAGTAGAGCAATATGTAAAAAGTAAGGTTAAAAGGCCCGAAAGGTCAATTTTGTTGGCCTTTAAAGTTCTAACCGTTCTAACTTTATATATGTATTTTGAGTGAACGATGGAGCTTTCTTATATTCAATTTTTTTTCACTCATCTCCCAATTAAATAGAGAGACAGAGGCACCAGTCTATGTATTAAGGCCCATTGATGATTCAATTACTTTTTATTTCCAATACAGATTGATTAGTTATTTTTGATCTTACCACATGTAGCTTCTAGAATATCGTCCAAATGTTCAGATAGGTCGTGAAAGTTAGGGTACAGAAGCACTTTTCCATTCTTTCCTGCAATCATTGACATTGTCTCCTTTTCTTTGAAAACTCTATTACCGACTCCAACGACAACTATGCTTACACCTTTGCTCTGTGTAAAAACAAGAGAATGAAACCTTATCCAGGTCACAAACTACAAGGCCCTTATGTATGATTCGTGCTTAAGTTACAATCTTCACAAATCTTCAGGATACTTCCTCACAAATCCAAAAGAAAGTTTACAAAGTTTCGTTCAAAAAAAATATCGTGCGGACTTTAAGAGAATATTCGCAAGATTCGTTCGTTTGCATTCTTTTTCTCTAGCACCGTATGTCTGTGCTAGATATATGTTGCAGGATCACCAGCTCCAGTTGGCGGCCTTTCTTTCACATATACCTCTGAAATGTAAATATTTCATTACCGCAGTAAATTTGTTTCGCCACTCGTAAAAGACCTCGTTTAAATAGCCGTGGTGCTCGAATAAAGTATTATATTGGTCTTTGCATCCTCAAGATTTACTCCTGGTGTTTACAGAAAGAAAACACCAAACATACCCGAAATAATCTACTGAAACGGAAAGGAATTTAATCTTTACGGACTCAGATTTGCTATTAGTGAGCACATCCTTGAGGAGGGTAGATTATAGGATCCAAGTACTTTCTATCCTTATCTGAATGGGCGGTTGATAAAGAAGAAGTCTAATTTTTTTACCTCCAATACATCTATGGAAGTGCTCAAACGGAATCTTAAAAGAGCGAACACCTGTCAGTTAAACTGAAATCTATTTTGTCTACCTCCAATACTTTAATGGAATCCTTAAACGGAATCACACGTCGTTTATCTCTCCTCGACTTATAAGGTTTCCCATCTGTAAACATGATTATGAAGTTCTTAGCGTCAGGCCTGTTTCCTCCTTGTTCAGTAAACAACTCTTTGGCGGCAAGATCCATGGCGAGATCTGTGCGTCTTCCCCAGGCCTTGGGTTCCACTCCTACTTTCTTCTGAACCAAGTCTTTTAATTTGTCTTCCTCGTAGTATGACTCATCGTTGAATTTGCTTTGAATAACTACTTCCATTGCAAAGGTGATAATAGCAAAATGGTTTCCTGATGGGGAAACACCCTTCTTTTCTAGCAGCTCATCAATGATTTTTATCTTTTTCCTTCGCTGTTGCTCGCCTACACCTCTTGATATGTCTTGCAGTATCGCGATATCCAATTTTTTATCAAGACAGCTACCTACCAATAGATAATATAATCTTTATCAATGATTTATCCCTTGAATGTTCTACATGCGCGGGGAGCAAAAGAGAGCAGAGCTGTGCGCATGAAGATGTTCGCCTATCCATGTCTCAGCATACTAAATATAGCGATATCTCGTAACAACGCTGTGCTACCACCACAGCGAGTCTTCTACAGATGTTACTTGCCTTCGAAATAAGAGTATTATAGTCACTAAGGAGAAAAGTGCAGGCCTCCTGTAGTCTGTTCTCAGCGACTGCATCGCGCACAGCTCTATGGCACTTTCACTTCTACCGATCTAAGACTTTCCTGAAGGGTTCAATAGACTGACTTTTGTATTATTTTACATGATTAATTCGAGAAGCGAATTGTCTCTAAGAATTTGAGATAAACAAACCCAAGTGTTCTCGCTTCAAAGACACCATTGTGGCGGTTTATAACCAGCCAATAAAATCCTTTGATTTACTGCATCGTGCATTGTATTCGATCACCAGAACAACCCCTGTTTTGCACAAAAGTGGTGTCTGCCATGTCAGAAAATAACTGGTTAATTGCATTAAAAAACTGATCAAAATTACGAACCTTCTGGGTGAGGTACAGGCATTTCCTCTGCAAAGAAAAAAAGAGATCAATTAGTGCAAATCAAAATCACGTTACAGTACCCAGTAAAAAGATTACAATTATACTGATAATAATAAACTATACTGATAACAATAAACGATACTGATAATAACGAGACGACAAAGAATGTTCCTTTATTAATGGTATATTCAGAAATGAAACGAATGTGACCAGCTAAAAAGCTATATAGAAACCAGGCCCAACTTAACTCAGATCTCCGCAGTGCGCCAACCGTTTAGGCTTCCACATAACGCCGCCCAGCTGGAGTAGAGTAGTTGACTAGATTCTACATTTGGAGGTGGGTTACACCAACTTAACTATTAAACACCATCTTGGACACCATTTTTGTCTGTGTCATTGCTGATTAATTCGGTTTTCCCCATATTTTACATTTTTAACTCATTTTTTTAGTATTTTTGTCCCTTCTCCACATCTCACACTGCACTCAGACTCCGACCACTCAGTGTATCCACCATCAATTGCTACACAACAACAACACAAGAAGCATCTCTTATGTTTGTTTTTTCAAGTGATAACTTGTAAAGTACAAGCTCGAACAATTTATTTGTATTTCAGCAAAGTGATTTTAACCTTAGGAAAGATTAGATTGCATCTGAGGAAAAGAAAGCCTGAATGGAAGACTCTTCATTTAGATTAAAACGAACCGTAGGGAGATGAACGCAAAGTTTCTAATGAAATCATTTTTTTTTACTGTCCACTTTATTATTAGCAAATTGGAACATCGGATACCATACAACTTATCCATAGAAAACTCCTGGTGATAGCTTATTAGACTCAGGAAATCTTCTTTATAAGAATTATGCCTATCACCAGGTTTTGAAATGAAAACGCAGAGTGAAGATGGTAGTTTTTTTTATCGTTAGTGTAGTCCAGTAGATGAAATATTATTACCTTCATTATCAAAACAGAGAGTAGCAGTAAAAACACTCATAACCAGTTATTACCAGGGTTTTAGATGATGATGCAGAAAGAAGATGGTAAGAGTTTTAACAAAAGTGTAGTAATGTAGATGTAGAATTTTTCCTACACTATACACAATATACAGAGTAGCAGCAAAAATACTTACAAAATTCTTCTTTTCATCTAAATAAACCGCTCTCACCATAGATTATTCAAAATGACACTAAAGATACTTACGGCATTCTGCTTCGTTGCATGAAACTGTCTTTTCAGCTGGTCCCAGTTCACTGCAGTTCTTTCCACCGTTAGATGGCGGCGGATTGGTACAAGTTCTTGTCAAATTTTTTGTCCCTCCTCCACATGTCACACTGCACTCAGACTCAGAAAACTCAGTGTAACCACCATCAATTGCTATACAAAGAAGCAAAAGCTGCAACTTCAGTTGTGCTTATTTACTTCAGCTATAGCATGAAAAATAGGTAAACAAAGTTTTTTACATCTAAATAAACCGCTCTAACCATAGGTGACCCACTAAAGATACTTACGGCATTCTGCTTCGTTGCATGAAACTGTCTTTTCAGCTGGTCCAAGTTCGCTGCAGTTCTTTCCACCGTTAGATGGTGGCGGATTGGTACAAGTTCTTGTCAGATTTTTTGTCCCTCCTCCACATGTCACACTGCACTCAGACTTAGAAAACTCAGTGTAACCACCATCAATTGCTATACAAACAACCAGAAGCTGCAACTTCAGTTATGCTTATTTACTTCAGCTATAGCATATAGAACAGGTAAACAAAATGTTTTCGATCTAATCAGACCGTTCTAACCATAGATGACTCAAAGTGACACTAAAGATACTTACGACATTCTGCTTCGTTGCATGAAACTGTCTTTTCAGCTGGTCCTAGTTCACTGCAGTTCTTCCCACCGTTAGATGGCGGTGGATTGGTACAAGTTCTTGTCAGATTTTTTGTCCCTCCTCCACATGTCACACTGCACTCAGACTCAGAAAACTCAGTGTAACCACCATCAATTGCTACACAAACAACCAAATTCTGCAACTTTAGTTATGCTTATTTACCTCAGTTATAGCATATAGAACAGGTAAACAAAATGTTTTAGATCTAATTAGACCGCTCTAACCATAGGTGACTCAAAGTGACACTAAAGATACTTACGGCATTCTGCTTCGTTGCATGAAACTGTCTTTTCAGCTGGTCCCACTTCACTGCAGTTCTTTCCACCGTTGGATGGTGGCGGATTGGTACAAGTTCTTGTCAGATTTTTTGTCCCTCCTCCACATGTCACACTGCACTCAGACTCAGAAAACTCAGTGTAACCACCATCAATTGCTACACAAACAACCAAATTCTGCAACTTTAGTTATGCTTATTTACCTCAGTTATAGCATATAGAACAGGTAAACAAAATGTTTTAGATCTAAGTAGACCGCTCTAACCATAGGTGACTCAAAGTGACACTAAAGATACTTACGGCATTCTGCTTCGTTGCATGAAACTGTCTTTTCAGCTGGTCCCACTTCACTGCAGTTCTTTCCACCGTTGGATGGTGGCGGATTGGTACAAGTTCTTGTCAGATTTTTTGTCCCTCCTCCACATGTCACACTGCACTCAGACTCAGAAAACTCAGTGTAACCACCATCAATTGCTATACAAACAACCAAAAGCTGCAACTTCAGTTGTGTTTATTTACCTCGTTTAAAGCATATGGAACAGGTAAATAAACCGCTCTAACCATAGGTGACTCAAAGTGACACTAAAGATACTTACGACATTCTGCTTCGTTGCATGAAACTGTCTTTTCAGCTGGTCCCAGTTCACTGCAGGTCTTTCCACCGTTAGATGGCGGCGGATTGGTACAAGTTCTTGTCAGATTTTTTGTCCCTCCTCCACATGTCACACTGCACTCAGACTCAGAAAACTCAGTGTAACCACCATCAATTGCTATACAAACAACCGGAAGCAGCAACTTCAGTTATGCTTATTTACTTCAGCTATAGCATATAGAACAGGTAAACAAAATGTTTTAGATCTAATTAGACCGCTCTAACCATAGGTGACTCAAAGTGACACTAAAGATACTTACGACATTCTGCTTCGTTGCATGAAACTGTCTTTTCAGCTGGTCCTAGTTCACTGCAGTTCTTTCCACCGTTAGATGGCGGCGGATTGGTACAAGTTCTTGTCAGATTTTTTGTCCCTCCTCCACATGTCACACTGCACTCAGACTCAGAAAACTCAGTGTAACCACCATCAATTGCTATACAAAGAACCAAAAGCTCCAACTTCAGTCGTATTTATTTAACTCGTTTAAAGCATATGGAACAGGTAAATAAACCACTCTAACCATAGGTGACTCAAAGTGACACTAAAGATACTTACGGCATTCTGCTTCGTTGCATGAAACTGTCTTTTCAGCTGGTCCTAGTTCACTGCAGTTCTTCCCACCGTTAGATGGTGGCGGATTGGTACAAGTTCTTGTCAGATTTTTTGTCCCTCCTCCACATGTCACACTGCACTCAGACTCAGAAAACTCAGTGTAACCACCATCAATTGCTATACAAACAACCAGAAGCTGCAACTTCAGTTATGCTTATTTACTTCAGCTATAGCATATAGAACAGGTAAACAAAATGTTTTCGATCTAATCAGACCGCTCTAACCATAGGTGACTCAAAGTGACACTAAAGATGCTTACGACATTCTGCTTCGTTGCATGAAACTGTCTTTTCAGCTGGTCCTAGTTCACTGCAGTTCTTCCCACCGTTAGATGGCGGCGGATTGGTACAAGTTCTTGTCAGATTTTTTGTCCCTCCTCCACATGTCACACTGCACTCAGACTCAGAAAACTCAGTGTAACCACCATCAATTGCTATACAAACAACCGGAAGCAGCAACTTCAGTTATGCTTATTTACTTCAGCTGTAGCATATAGAACAGGTAAACAAAATGTTTTAGATCTAATTAGACCGCTCTAACCATAGGTGACTCAAAGTGACACTAAAGATACTTACGACATTCTGCTTCGTTGCATGAAACTGTCTTTTCAGCTGGTCCTAGTTCACTGCAGTTCTTTCCACCGTTAGATGGCGGCGGATTGGTACAAGTTCTTGTCAGATTTTTTGTCCCTCCTCCACATGTCACACTGCACTCAGACTCAGAAAACTCAGTGTAACCACCATCAATTGCTATACAAAGAACCAGAAGCTGCAACTTCAGTTGTGTTTATTTACCTCGTTTAAAGCATATGGAACAGGTAAATAAACCGCTCTAACCATAGGTGACTCAAAGTGACACTAAAGATACTTACGGCATTCTGCTTCGTTGCATGAAACTGTCTTTTCAGCTGGTCCTAGTTCACTGCAGTTCTTCCCACCGTTAGATGGCGGCGGATTGGTACAAGTTCTTGTCAGATTTTTTGTCCCTCCTCCACATGTCACACTGCACTCAGACTCAGAAAACTCAGTGTAACCACCATCAATTGCTACACAAACAACCAAATTCTGCAACTTTAGTTATGCTTATTTACCTCAGTTATAGCATATAGAACAGGTAAACAAAATGCTTTCGATCTAATTAGACCGCTCTAACCAAAGGTGACTCAAAGTGACACTAAAGATACTTACGGCATTCTGCTTCGTTGCATGAAACTGTCTTTTCAGCTGGTCCCAGTTCACTGCAGTCCTTCCCACCGTTAGATGGCGGAGGATTGGTACAAGTTCTTGTCAGATTTTTTGTCCCTCCTCCACATGTCACACTGCACTCAGACTCAGAAAACTCAGTGTAACCACCATCAATTGCTATACAAACAACCACAAGCAGCAACTTCAGTTATGCTTATTTACTTCAGCTATAGCATATAGAACAGGTAAACAAAATGTTTTGGATCTAATTAGACCGCTCTAACCATAGATGACTCAAAGTGACACTAAAGATACTTACGACATTCTGCTTCGTTGCATGAAACTGTCTTTTCAGCTGGTCCTAGTTCACTGCAGTTCTTCCCACCGTTAGATGGCGGCGGATTGGTACAAGTTCTTGTCAGATT